TAGTCATGTCATTGAAAAAAAAAAAATCTTTAAACCTAATAAACTTCAACCCTACTGTTTTCCGTGAATTTGGTCTCATACAATGATACAATTTGTATTTTCTTTAGATAACTTGAATTTTTATATAATGTATAAGAATTTACTTATTTTTGTTTGGATTATTTTGTAAATGATAAGGTCAAATTAAATATACACTTAATTAAATACAACATGACCTGTCTTAAGCCAAGTAAAGTATTCACCTAGGTGGTATGTCACATCGTGTTTGGTCGAACTAGATTACGTTATCAAATTATATGCTAGTATTTTAAATTCTACAAGAAAGCGTGTTTCTGAAAATCAATATATTTTCATTAATGAAATACTTTGTGTCTCAAATTAACACGACGTTTCATACAAATAACATATTTATGTAAAGATTATTCCAATTGGGATTTGAAGGTTGTGCACTAAATGAATTAAACATTTAAGCAAAGGCAAAATGGTTATAGACAAGAGAAGCACGAGAAAGCAAATATTTCATGTATACAATTACTCACACAGTTGCATTGTGCAGATAAGCTGTAAAATGAAATCACACGTCTTGTCTCAACTGTACTTCGATCAATTAGATGTACTGTCTTCTTCACTATTCACAGGTGCAACAGCCTCTCTTTTTTTGGTACTAACCCTAGTCTATTTTTTTATTATTTGTTGTTGAAAGGATTGTTGTCTTTTATAAACGTACCAAATATATTTCTTTAAATCTAGATAATAGTTCACAAAAGTTCACAACTGTAATTAAAAGTAAAAGATGAAGAACAAGAAGGTAATATAATAGGGATTGCTGACAAACAAAATACTAACTTAGCTTGGGATTTAAACTCTCACATTTTTTAAGAATGGAATCCGTGTCTGACAAATAAAGATTATTTTAATAATTTTGAACAAACATTTGGAACTTTCGTAGGAGTGTTGGATGTTCTCTTGTAGCCGGTAGGTATATTTTCTTGTTTCATTAATCTTGAAATATTGATTTAGATGAATAATTTATAAATATAATAAATTTTAATAAAATATAAATGTTAGTGTATCAAATTATTAGTTTTGTAATATAAAAGGATATTATGTTTTAATAATTGTGTTTGGTTATCAATTCGATTGTTAATATACTTTTTAAATTCGCCAACACTGTAATGTTTAATTAAACCAATGAAATATGAATTGTTAGAACAAGGAGTTCTAAAATCAAATTTTGATAAATCTAGTAAACCAATTTTATAATTATCACCTTCCTACTATCTTATATAAACATTAACAAATATTTATCCTTTGGACATATATACAATCTTGAAGTATTAATGGAAACCAAATAATAGAAATATATATTAATAAAACAATAATTCATGCAAAGCCAATTTCTCGGAAGAAAGTGACGGATTAACTTACTAATAATGGCTTTTCTTATCAGTGATTTATTTCTGTTCTATTTAATTTCTCCTATTCTTTATGAGCATTGTTCAGATTTCATTATCAATATGGTAAGCTTATACACGTGTGTGTGTGTATATACATATATATATATA